CCCATCCCAGAATGTTTGGAATGTGGCCCAGTCCAAAGTTCACAGTGGGCTACCTGCAAGTAACCCAGCCGCATTCTTTCAACAAAATGGCTGTCTTCTAAAACTATATTCCACAATTTACACCTTCAATAAATCCTAAGATCATGACCCAGGAGCCTGTGACCAATACTTAGGTTCTTAGATGTGACACAAGTTTGAATTATAAGTTGTGTGAAAGCCAAAACTGCAGTTTGCGGAAGAATGGGAGCAATGAGCTTCTAAAGTTAGCTTGTGTTCGTCCTGGTCTCAGAGTTTTTATGTTTTGAGCTCACAGGAGCTTAATCTGGTTAGTACTGAGTAGAAAGGGGGAGGAAATGGGGTCAATAGCTCCCGAACGCATTCTAGTGGTCTCGGGGTCAACGGTCCTTCCTGATCCCTAACGCTCAGTGAGCCTCCGTGGCCGGCTCCCAACAAGTTTCATCAGGCAGACACCTGGCCTTGACACTGGAAGATCCTGAAGGACGGTACCTAACAGTAGTGTCTCTTGAACCAATCAGTTTCCCAGAAGGAGCTTCTTCTTGCCTACCTAATGGCCAAAGTTTGGCTGCAACAACTAAGAGAATTTAAGAAAATGTGGTGAGAGATGATGGCAGGGAAAACTCAGGGTGTAAACAGACCCTCACCTAATTCCAGTTTGTGAATGATAGTCACACTCTCAGCTGACTCGACGGCCCCAATTGTGGAGTCTCTCTGGCTTCTCTAGGATTGGGTATTTTCCAGACTCTTTTAGGGGAACCAGATAAAAAGTTTCAGTTTTCTTCATATAGCTTGACCTTGAAAAAATTCTGGCGATTGCTTTGATTTTAGCTCAATCGATGTCTTCCAAGACTCACTTCCGTCAAACTCAGATTGTCTTTGTCAGTGTTCTGTTAACCCAAGGGTTGTATTTAGTATTTGTCCCATTAAAGCAATTACCTTATTGTATCAAAATCATCTGAGTGTCTGTCATCCTTGACAGCAGATACTTTATCTTTGTAACTGAGAATCCTGGCTCCTTTGAACAGTAAATAGCATACATTTGATGCTCAAGACATATTTTCTTTAATGAATAGATGTCTAAGGATTTGAGTTGGATTCTGTGTTACTCCACTTACCAATGGTTAGTCTTAAATATATCTTCTGACAGAACACCTCTTAGCACAACATCTACCCCACTGGTTTCTTTTGTGTGTGTGTGTGTGTGTTGGAGTCTCACTCTGTCACCCAGACTGGAGTGCAGTGGCCGCTCCTGGCCACTGCAGCCTCGACCTGCTGGGCTCTGGCAATCCTTCCGCCTCAGCCTTCCAAGTAGCTGGAACTACAGGCGCGCACTACCACGCCCGGCTCATTTTGATTTATTGTAGAGATGAAGTCTCGCCAAGTTGCCCAGGTGGGTCTCGAACCCGTGGGCTCAGGCAATCCACTCACCTCAGCCTCCCAAAGGTGCAGGATTACAGGCTGAGCCACCGAGCACTGGTTTCTTTTGAGGGTCAAACTAAACAAGTGAGAAAGCCCTTACTTAACTGTAAGCTGTTGCATAATTGTGAATAGTTTTTATTTCTACAGGTTCAACATTTTATTAATAAAATATTATTAAAATTGTACTGCATTACATAGAGAGTTAATATTCAAATATAATAAAGAGAACTCCACTGTTTATTGAATAACCATCCCGTCATCCGTGTGATATAGTCCCTGTCCATCTCTACTCTTGTCGTCTCTAATTTTTACCTCACTTATTTTGCTCTAACTTGACTGGCTTCAAGATGTTTCTGAAAGATGCCTGTTCAGTCTCACTTCAGAGCTGTTTAATTTGCCATTCCAACTGTCTGGAACCCTCTGTTACAATGTCTGCAGGACTCGCCCTCACTTCACTGAAGTATCTGCTTAGACATCATCTCCTAGGGAGGGCACACCTTCCATATAACTTTCTTTCTTCTCTCCTTGGCTTACTTTTCTCATTTAATAATTTTTCATCTCCAACTAGAATGCAAGGTCAATGTCCCAAACGCTTTTTTCCGTTTTGGTCAGTGTTGTATTCTTTGTACAATGGATCAGTGACCAATATCTAGTAAATACTCAATAAACATTCATTGAGTTAAGATACATTTGATAAGTATGTGTCATGCCCCAAAATATGCATGATCTCACCTGAAAAAATTATCACAACCTTGTGAGAAAGGACTGCTAAAATGCAGTATTACTGCAAATAAATTTCCATTCTTTTACATGATAGCAGCCTTTGTTTATTATAATTTATTTTATGTTTCCCTTTTTAGCATTGTTTTAATCATATTAATGGCATTGTATATTTGACAAAAGCAATACTATCTGTGTAACTTTTTCTCTTTTTTCCATCAGTAAAATATTTCTTTTTCAGATACCAGATAAGTACAGGAGTCTTTGTGCATTTTGGAACTACTCAGCGGATACCATGAATGGCAGCTGGTCTTCAGAGGGCTGTGAGCTGACATACTCAAATGAGACCCACACTTCGTGCCATTGTAATCATCTGACACATTTTGCAATTTTGATGTCTCCTGGTCCTTCCATTGTAAGACAACTCATCAGTTCATATTTGTAAATACAAATGTTCCCTTTTCTGTTTTGCCCCATTTCATTTAAGACAATAATTAATTTGTTGTTTTCCTTGGATGTAAGTAACATTTAATATAATTATTACAACCCCAACATTTTTTTTTTCTTAGTCTTTGTTTTCCTACTTGCTTTCTGGGATAATCTAGTGTGGATTTTAGATTATTTCTAGACTAGCACTTATATATTAGTGATATCTAGTAGATTACATTTAAATTGACTTTTTATGCTGCTTTCAAGAGCCATTTACCCATTTTTAATGTAATGTGGAATTTTAAGGGCCTTTGTCTTTGTGTTGAATGTTTGTTTTTCCTAACAACAAAGCCTAAAAGTACTTGATACTTGGACAATAAGTATTAGCACATTTATAACTAATATCATGTTTTTAGCAATGTAGAGAATCCCCACAAGATTATTTAATGTTAAAAACTTTTCTAAGATGAAGAGCTTCATAATATGTGTTTTACTTTAGAAATATCTTACTTAGATAATTTCTTATTTTGTAACTCTGTATCACAATCTCCATCAGACATAGGCTTATTTCTATATATATTTATTAATTCATAATTATTAAGTATGTAAAGTAGTGTATTAAGTATATAAAATAGATAGGTATATCTGCCTGAATGTAATGTCATTCATAAAGATAGTTTTTTCTGGATATTAAACAAAAAATACCACTATTCTGTATATAAAAATAAATATTCATCTAGTTAGAATAAAACCAGCATTTCCCCTTTCAAAGTTCTCTGAACCATACTATTTTGATATCCTATATATTCAGCATTGCTAACACCTTCATTTAATATGTTTTAGATGAATCACTGCACAGAAATATGGCTTGGTCTTACCACTGATAAATCTGTTTTAATTAACTACTTTCACATTACAATAATGAATTGCACTGCTAGTATGATGAAATTGATGACGATAACATTGTTAAACCTATACTAATAAATACTATGCCTAGAAAAAAATCACCAATTACAGAACTGTTAAAGTGCCAAATGATTTATATCAGATTTCTTTGGATATTGGGGATTTTCAAAAGTATAAAATTTTTCTCATCTAAATGCACATTTATATTTTTAAATTTTATGAACATTTTGATTAATGTTTCACCACAAAAGGAAGTTCATTATATGTTGTAGTTCTTTTGACAAGTTACTGAATTATTCGCTTAACAACTTTATTATTATTTTCCCTCAGGGTATTAAAGACTATAATATTCTTACAAGGATCACTCAGCTAGGAATAATTATATCACTGATTTGTCTTGCCATATGTATTTTTACCTTCTGGTTCTTCAGTGAAATTCAAAGTACCAGGACAACAATTCACAAAAATCTCTGCTGTAGCCTATTTCTTGCTGAACTTGTTTTTCTTGTTGGAATCAATACAAATACTAATAAGGTATGTAGGTCCTCCTAATCTCTATTTTCATTTCATAAATATATGTGGCACAGAAATATGAATTATAATTAAGGTTTAAAGGGCCAGACTATATTATTTATTCTCAACCTAGTCTTTCTAAATTTGATAATGCTAATATATCTAAGCAAACTTCTTATCAAGTTCATTAAGCAAAAATGTCCCTCATTATGGTGAATTATTGGCACAAGTCAAAACCACAACACAGTGAAGAAATACTTTTTGTTTTTAAATGGGTATTAAACAAAAGGCCAAGGAGAGAGAGAGAACTGGAAATAAAATTCACCCAAGGAGAAAGACTGAACATAAATGCAGTCAGGGTTTATAGGTTGAAATATGATAAATTGGTTCTACCTAATATCTGCACTTTCTATCCATTTCCCATGATTATTCATCTGGAGTCCTACCAAATTTGTTCTTATTGTGTTAGTCTGAGTTCTCAAATCAGATACTAAGATGGGGCTAAACATGCAACAGATTTATTAGGAGAGATGCCAGTGAGATAAAATAAAAAGAGAGAAGCCTGGAGTACCATCAGACCAAGATTCAGGTCTGACCTGCAGTGAAGGACAGAGAGAAAGAAAGAAGAGTGGATGGAGCGTTTTGTACAGCAGTTCAGTTCTAAGGAAAGTTCAGCACTGGTGTCGAAGAATCCTTTGAACTAGAGTCATCCATGAGAGGAATTCTCCATTTCTCAGGAGCTGCCATGTCTTAGTAACCCAATTATGCTCAGTCAGGGGCTGGCAGCAGTCTGGTCCACTTCACTCCCTATAGTCAGTGATGGGAAAAGTGTATCCCCGTGACCACAGACCATGGAATTGCCCTTATATTAACATTCATTTCAAGAAATAAGACTAACAATCAGTTAATACGGTTTTCTTCTGAAGTAGATGGCACAAAGTCCCTATTTTAAATGGTAGATACTCAACCATAAACTCTTCATCCGTTTGGGGTTTTGCAGTGGTATTTGTAACACCTTTCAATTTTAGATACCTTCCACTATCCTCTGGTGCCTAGTTTCTTATTCGGTTACCTTTCACCATCATCTTCCCTCCAAAGCTATTCCTTAGAGTGTTTATTTTGAATTCTCTTTTGCCTGTTACGTCCTTTTCCATTTTCAAACCATATCTCAACTCTCATTTTCTTCCTTAAGTGTCAAATTTTAATTGCCAGGGATCTCTCAGTTCCTAAACTTTATGGTGTAATCTCCAACATATTTTACTATGCAACCTCATTAAGCACAAATTATACTCTGTTTTAATGAATAGAATAGATGTGTCAGTGTGTATTACATTATCTATTTTGGTGATATGTATCATTTGCTCTACTACTGTAGGAGTTTGTCACTATTTCTTTTTCTGTTATTCCTTATAAGCCTAACTCCAACTCTGGATGTGAGGATGTAAAGTTGGTGCTGATAAGTAATGTTTAAATGAAAACCATCTCAAATTCACTTGAGAATCGTACAACTTAAAATGACTCTACAGTGAATATTTTGGTTAAAATATGTCATTCGTCTGTTTTGTAAATGTTATTTTGTCACTTAATCGAGATATTTATTTTATTTTGTTCAGCAGAAGATGATCAATATTTTTCACATATTAAGCATGAACAAAATAAAAGAGAGCAGAGGTCTCTCCAAAACAAACAATTTGAATCATAATCGGTTCATCAGGATACCATAGTTTTACATGTAAATAATGCACAGTTTATCACATAACATAAATATGTTAGAATAATAAAATTCTGGACAAAAACCATAACTTAGCTCTGTCATAGGATTAGTTAATGCTTCACGTTCATGAAGCAGTTTTTAAAAATCAACTAGAAGCAGTACACTAAAAACTGACGTGACAGGGATACTTTAATACAATCAATCATTATACAAAGTGGCATAAGTTGTGGAGAAAGTTGAGATTTTATGTTATAATAATGTTGAAGCAAACTTTGCTTACGGTTTCTTCCTTTCTTTCTTTCTTTGATTTCTAGCTCTTCTGTTCAATCATTGCCGGACTGTTACATTACTTCTTTTTAGCTGCCTTTGCATGGATGTGCATCGAAGGCATTCATCTCTATCTCATTGTTGTGGGAGTCATCTACAATAAGGGATTTTTGCACAAGAATTTTTATATATTTGGCTATCTAAGCCCGGCTGTGGTAGTCGGATTTTCAGCAGCATTAGGATACAGATATTACGGCACCACCAAAGTGTAAGTTAAGATGGTTTCATGAGCACTTGAAACGCAAGTCTGAATGTACTTTGTATATCTTTGAGAATTTTGCTTTGTTAAAATACGTGCCAACATATCTATAGATTTTATCTATTATTTACTTTTCAGATGTTGGCTTAGCACTGAAAACAACTTTATTTGGAGTTTCATAGGACCAGCGTGTCTAATCATTCTTGTACGTATGTATAAAATTTTTCTTAGAATTTAAAAATGCTATTATTAAAGGGAGCTTAAAATTCCCAACAATCAAGTGTTATTCTTAAAAAAAGAACTTGAGTACTTTCTAGTATGTCATTTATTAATATTGTGTATATATTGCAATTGAGAAAACATGTATATATTGTAAATTTAAAGCTGCTACAATTCATTTGTCCCTCTTGTGGGTGGATAAATTTCTACATAACATAGAGGAAAAAACATTTTTCACTTATCAGTAATATCTCAGCATACTTCAATACCAAGAGTGTGCCAACCAGCTGATAATCTGACATTTCAGATGTTTACATTATTTAATCTTTTATCGATGATCGGTCATCTTTGAAGATTAGACTGTCATCTTTACAGTTTTATCATCTTTTTGTACCCTGTCATCATAAGTGATTTTAGACTAAATTGCAACATCAGAGACAAGAAACCACTATTTCTCATGAACAGACAAGTCATATATTGATAGTCCTATTTCAGCAAGGAAGAGGGCCTTTTAATTCTTATTGGAAGTGGTTTCAAACCTACAAATTTGGCAGGTATTATATGTTCCATTCTAAATAAAGACGTATTTATATATCTCAAGAGCTTTTCTAAGTGCTGAAAGTTTTCAACAGCCATCCTGAATATAATAGTCTGTCAATGAATCTGGGAGGTCTGACAAGACACCAACATGGAATGAATTGTCAGTAAAGGAGTTGCCACAATATTTTGGACAACTTTGTTCCATATGTTTTGGCCATAAACTAGCCATCTTTTTTGAATTTCTTTTCTTCTCTTACTCTTTTTCCCTTGAGTTTTTTTATGGTTACATGAGGGAGCTGCTAAATGGAGAAAGACTTTAAAGCAGAGAATCTTCATCAAGCCTTTGTTTTTAATGGTGTGGGTGAAATCAAGTACATTCAGAAATGATACTTTCTAATGATCACAGAAAATTGTGAGTAATTCTCACAATGAATCTAGCACTACTTAAAAAAGAAAATCCATGAGCCAAATTCCAGCTAAAACAATTTGAATTAATTTATTATAACTACAAGATTTTCAACTCACAGCAGAATACAAACTGAAAGGTGCTCATTCATATATTTTCGTGAGCTTTCTTGATATGAGTATTTCACATGAACACATGCTCTGCCCTACATAATCTGCTGATTTCCTCACTACAGAGTAAACCAACTCTAATATTATTTTGCACGAGTGAAAGTTCTGTAGAGAATGATATTTACAGTTTGGATGAAGAGTAGCCAGATAGAAATTAAACAGGAAAAATAGAAGCATCTTTCCCTAAAATAAAAGGGAAAGTGTTCTCTGAAATAGTATGTTAGGCTAGTTTAGATTATTTTATAGTAAGATACCGAGACTTTAGTTGAGCTTATTTAAAAATGAGTTCTGAAAACTTTCCTAGAAGTCTAAATGAACACTGTCACATTGTTCTCATCTGGAATTAATGAATCAATTTGTCTTCTATGCAATTTCAGAATGATAAATGTTCCCAGGTTGACCAGAGGGTCAGGTTACTTAAAAAATGAATGAGTCACCTCAATTTTACCATAAAACTAAAAGCAGCTTATCTTTTATAATGCCTGTTAAATACTAAAAATTTCTTAAGTATTGAATTAACTTACTCTAGTTATCTTTAATCTCATGTACTAATGCTAGCATATTATTATTCAGCTACATAATACAATGTTAAGTGACACTTTTCCTGTTGTCCCAGGACTATTTCTAGTTCAAACATGAAGTCAAAGAGATATTGAGCACCAAACATTTATAAAAGAGCTATCAACAGTTTGGGCCGTACTCTTCCCATAGTGAGAGGTGTGAAGAGGGGAGCCCAAAAGATGGTGGCTCAGAGTTAGGAGTCCTTGGTCTTTGGGGGAGTACAATGTTTTCTACTAGAAGCTTTTATTTTCCCTGCCATTAAGAAAAAAAGGTATTGCTCCCCTATCTCCTGAAGACAAGATGTGTCTAACGCTAAAAGATTTGCAGAACGTGGAGTCAAAATTAATAAAGGTAGTGTGACTATAGCATTTTCTTGTGTCTCTGGAATGTAAAGAAGAACAGAGCCTGATGAGCAAAAAAAATTTTATGAGAGTTTGATATATGCCCCCTGATTTGGAGCCAAATGTGAATCTAGAGACCATCACCTGCTGGTTTGGAGTTTCTTGCAGGCTGAATGCTTACTGGGGTATTCCTCAACAATAGGGAGGGAAAATGTTACAGTGTGTCTAGGAATAAAATGTTGGGGGAATACACAGACTTCAGTTATTCTATAAGCACAGAGAAGTTAGACAAGTGGAAACAAGTTGTGGGGCTGCCGGGGTCAGGTGAAGTTATGTAGAACAAAGAGAATGGGTTGAATGGAGACACAGCTGCCCCTCTTTGAAGAACAGAAGAGACCAAGATGGAAATGAAATACTGTGAACACTAAGTAAACGAGTTGTGTCATCCGAGTGGAGGTCGTCCCATAAACCAACTAAAAAAAAAAAAAAAAATATATATATATATACACACACACATATATACACATATATATATTTGCCATTGTATATATATAT